CAGAGGAAGCATCAAGTTGGCACGCTACAATGTTGCCAAGTCCGCGGGCGGGGGGCGGGGCAGATTTTCTTATAGGTTTAAAGGGGGGCACGACCAAAAAAGTTTGAGAACCACTGGTCTAAAGTTAACAGATAGTGTTTAAAAAGTGCAGTCCACGTTTACATATGTTTATTACAGTGACTTTGAATTACCTAGTGTGGTAAAGCAACAGATTTGTGTTTATATTTCTGCAGTGTGATTTGTTACTGACTTTCATATTAATGTTTACACCAGGCTTATTTGTCAGTGCTTTGTTGTCATAATTATTACGTTTACAAGGTTGGAAGTTCAACAAATCAGTCAATATACTGTGATTGTAGTTGTTAAATAAAAATGTCATTCATATCAATTCATGCATCACCTAATTTCATCGTAACATATAGGCCTGGCCTACAGAAAAGAACATTTATGTTTAATCTATCTAATATTGTGTTGGTCATACTATACAATGATTTATAGCTTATCTTTGTTGAATAATACAGAACTTTAAAAAGCTTTAAAAAATAATTGCATATTAAATTGCAATCGCAATATTGGTAAAAAAAAAATCGCAATTAAATTATTTTCCAAAATCGTTCAGCCCTAGTGCCAGTTAGGATACGCGCATTCAAAATTGTAAGATACTGTATAAATTCAGTTATGAGAAATAGTCATAATTATGAGGAATAACTATTATGCGAAATGAAGTGGCGATTGTGAGATATAGCGTACGTTCACAATTGTAAGAAATAAAGTTGCAATTTAGTGAAATGTAGTCACAATTACAAGAAATATACAGTCAAAATTGTAAGATACTGTGTAAATTCATGATTATGAGAAATAAACTTATAACTACAAGTCATGAAGACACAATTACCCTTTTATATTTTTCACTTTGAGGCAGTCACAGGCTTCCAAACTGAACCGTGTTTGTGCAGAACAGGATTAAGCCCTTAAATAAGGAGCGACAACCATTTTTAGCTGCAGTGTGTATGTGGTCACTGTGGCGTTACGTCACATTTTTAGTCGGCTTGCCAAATAGCTAGAACACCCAAGATGCATAGGGACACTATTCAGAGGTATAGACAAGTAAGATATAAACAACTGGGTTTCATTGAGGATTTGTGAATGGCTGTGTTTGAGTCCGCATGGGCTGGAATGAGAATCATGCCATTTTGACTGTCATGATGTGATGGATAGATAGAGCTGTTTAGTCTAGCGTGGATCCAGGCAGTCTTGTGATAGCTGCCGTTGTTTTCAGCAGCCTCTCATCTGTCACCTGTCTGCCAGTTGAAAGGGTAAATGACACTGAGCTCTGTCTGACAACAAGCCAACAGCAGATGAGAGACTGAGCTCAATGCTCCAAACCCTCAGTCCATATACATCAATACTGACATCATGCGTCTGACGCTTGGGGAGCGGAGAGTTTGTGTTGAACTCCTCTCCGAAATAGAAACTGCTTATTTCAAAGATTTGCCACCGTCCACCGTTCTGGTTATTGTCAACTTTGTTTTGTCAGGCTTATCTACTGTGTGTGTCCAGGCATTGACATAAGAATGACATAACATCCTTATGTCGTCAGTCTGATCCAATCAGAACGCTTTTTAGAATGATTTTCAGACCCAGTTGATGGATTTTGTTAGCCGTGGTTTGTTTGGACTACAATAAGGTTTCATCAAACTTTGTTGATGTTAGTTAATGAAAATGCAGTTGTTCATTGTTAGTTCATGTTAATTCACAGTGCATTAACTAATTTTAACAAGCACAACTTTTGATTTTAATAATGCATTAGTAAATGTTGAAATTAACTAACTAAGATTAATAAATGCTGTAGAAGTATTCTTCATTCTTAGTTCATGTTAACTAATGAACCTTATTGTAAAGTGTTATCGATATAATTGAATTATATGTTGAATGCCGGTATCCCGAAAAAAATTATTCTAAATTCATTCAATACTCAATTTGATGCTATATGTGTGTTGCGGAGGTGTTATATTCAACCCTAATTGGCCTTTTCCAGGTCTGTGGTCGCTCAGGTTGTGGTCTGTTTGATGTCTGGAAAGTGTTTATCTCTGGGCCAGAGGCCTCATTTGTTGACTTTCACACCGTGACTAGGCTTACTCCACTGACCACTAAAGCAAATGAGCTGGTCAGCAATGTAATTATGGTGCCTTGAGCCAGCGGTACAACTGTTTCGGGTTGAAGACTGTGTGCTTAAACCCCAATCCTGATTAATTGGTGGTTTAACAAAGACACATTTGTCTTGTTCAGTAATTCACCTTGCCCACTTAAATAGGATTTACGGTACCGAGGAAGTATTTAATCTAGGGATGTTCATTTTAACTGTTTAACCGCTTAACCGACGGTAAGAATTTTGACCGATTAATACAATCAGTTAAACGGTTTGAAAAGTAATTTAATTATTTATATTTTCAGTAATTTATCAAAATATTTAAAACGGTTTGCTGCATGGTTAAAATACGCTACGTGTATAAAAAATGTCGCTTAACTAAGTCGCATTTTATTATTTCATTCAGAAATAGGCCTAATGCCGACGCGAAATGTTTACAAACATTATAATAAACATTGTAAACATAGCTAGGCTATTTTAGTTCCCCTCACTCCACAACAAATCCTTTCAATTAACAGTATTTAGAAAAGAACAAGAATTAAAAATATAAGAAGCTAGCAATATAAATGACAAGCCAAAACGAACGTTGGGTCCCACACAAAATCAAATGTTTCCGTATTCGCGGTGTAGGCTATTTGAATGGCAAATTATTATTTATTATGTACTTCACTCTAGGGCTGTGCGATTTGGGGGAAAATATCAAATTGCGATTTTTGATTTCAACAGCGTGTTTCATTACGTCTCTTTGAATCAGTGTTTTTGGATTTTAAGAGCAAGTGGAAAATGTGCTGAATGTTTCATTTCATCCAAGTGAAATTAGCAAGCAGTTAGACTGAATTTACGTTCGTTTTAAACGCAGCGTCGTTGTGACGCAGCTTTTGGAAATTACCTTTTTTGTTCGTTGTCTGTCATTTCGAAGCTTAAGTTGCATACGTTTTTCTTTAGTTTTAATTTGCCTAACTATCGATCTGACCCAGTAGACGCCATAATCCCACTCTGTCTCTCTCCCGCTTTCTGTTTTTTTTTTTGTTTTTTTGTTTTTTAAATGGCGGGTGTTTACTCAGTTGGCTAGAGCAGTGCTGATTGGAGAGAACGGAGGTGCGCTCACTCTATTGGTTAGTAAGACTGCAACTCAAGGCTGGCAGTCATGCATATGCTCTGGAACAGAGTAATATCGCGTCCATATCGCAGGCTTTGCGATTAGGAAATCGCAACGTCTCAAATCGCGATTTCAATTCGATTTCAATTAATTGCACAGCCCTACTTCACTCGCGTTCCAATATCCACGTAAAACAAAATGTTTTGCATAGCCTAACATCACAGTGGTACAGTGATAACACTTAACCTTAACGGCTTAACAGATTTTACTACATAGTTGTTTTTCCATATGTTTGACTGACTGTATTTTATTATGATAATGAACAGGCTGCATTGCTTAACTGTGCGTGCATGCGGCGCCGGCGCAATCACTTGAATTTTTTCCTTCTAACAGTGGAAGAAACTACTCCTTTTAGTCCTAAAGATAATCAGAATTGTAAAAGGTTTGCCTTTATTTATGTACATCACAATAAAAACAAATGTTTGTGCTTTTGTAAAATAAGCCTAAAGAAAAATAGGATGCTGCTTTCTGCCATACGTTTCCTTTTGCGCAGCACAAAAATGAACCGAAACTCTGTGTACTAGGCTACTTGTTGCACAGTATTTCTTTCATTATTGCGATATTGCGGTTATCGCGACAGCCCTACGGGTCACAGACACTTATCCTTTCTATATTCTATAATAATTTAATTCAATTCTAATTTAAAATAATCTTGTCGGTTAACGGTTAACAATCGGTTAACGAGCGTCGGTTGTAGGTTAGGAAAAATAACCGAAATGAACATCCCTAATGTAATCACTATACACCCGGGTCTGATGTACTGAAGTTTTTAAAAATTATATTTAAATTCAGTCAGTATGCCGTAAATTATTTTCATGTAATGGCCAATAACTGATAAATTCTGATATTAAAATTCTATACTATTGTGTCTAAAATGGAAAAACTAAAATCAGTGGTTTGAATTTGAATTTAGGCATTGCAGTATTGTAATGTCTGATGTTGAGATTTGTTAAAGATTTATATAAAAAAAAAGTTTTAATAAAGTCAGTTTTTTTTTAAAGCTCTAATTGAGTGTTGAACGAGCTGCGCAAAACCACGTTCATATTCGCGCGATTTTTTGCGCAGCTCGTCAGTGAACAACGGTTCTGTGTAGTTAATGCTGCTCAATGTGAAAGCACGCACGTGATGGAGATTTACCGCTGATTACAGAACCGGCTTTCTGACAAGTTGCGCGTTAAATATCGCATGCGATTTATCGTGCAGCCCTAGTTGAATGATAATAAAAAATAATCTAAATGTAAAAAAGGCTATAATTAAAAGACGATAAATAAAACAAAATATCTAATATCAGCCAATATCTGACATGGAACCGGTAAATCTCTAATTAAAAATCAGTAAAAAGACATTTAGTTTTGTGTAATACACAGCTGTGTTTACATCCCTGTAACCAATGAGATCTGTCTGGGGGCAGGGCTACCCAACACAGAAACGTAACAGAAACCAAGTGTTAACAAAACGTCTTGTAACTCATTGCTTGTTGCGGCTGGTTGGGACGACAAATACTCGGATTAATCTTGAATGAAATGGGGTTTAGCCTTGACGCTTTATCATATCATGTCTGCTTAGAACATGTAAGAGAATGTGATGTGGTTAAATGACTTTTTTTTTTACTTTTTGGCATGTCTGAACATGTGTGCATGCGTTTATAGATTTAATCAACTAATAATTTGTTCTTTTTGACTCTACTTTCAGTTTCACCTGGGAAAAACTCCATCTTAGCGAGATTTATAAGATTTCGGGAGCAGTAGAGCCAAAAGCCATCACATCCCTCTCTGATTAAACTCAATCACCTGGACCGTGGGTCCCTCTGCCCTTTTTGGGTCTTCCTGATTGTTGGACTAAGCTTCGAGATTGTCAATGGAGCAAAGAGACCTTACTCGGATGGCCCAGCCCAAAGGAAACGAGGAGTTCTTCTCCACTGTTACCACCATCAACAGAGCAGATCTTAGTGAGGTGGGTCTCCTTGCCAGTCCAATAAAGAGCCTCCCTTTACCTGGAGAGCAACAGGACCATGAAGAGGACGAAGACCTCGGTCTGGGGAAGGACATCGATGTCACTTCTAATGCGGACAGTGAGAGATGGGGGCAGGGAGATGGGCTGGAGGAGCAGGAATTCTCCATCAAGGAGGCCAGTTTCTCTGAAGGCAGCTTGAAGTTGAAGATACAAACGACCAAGAGGGCCAAGAAGCCTCCTAAGAACCTGGAGAACTACATCTGTCCTCCTGAGATCCGCATCACCATCAAACAGCCAGGAGAGCAGAAGACCGGCAAGCATGCCAGGAGTGCCAGGGGAGGGAAGGAGGAAGATAAAGGACCCCTCAGAAAAAGGGTTAGTGTCACCGACAGTGTTTAGGAATGCTGTTGTTTTCTTGTGTCATGTGATCACTCTCTTGTGTTTATTATCATATGTTATCACGGCTCTAGACAGTACAGACCTTAGTCAGAGTAGTTGCCATATTGAATTTCATGGCAGTGAAATCAAGCCATTGGCTGCTGATGAAATACTGAAATATCTTTTCTTTGGAAGCGCCTTTATAAAATAGCTGTTTTTGCGTGAACAAAATATTCATTTTGTGAATGTAAAATGTGATTTGTGCATTAATATGAATATGAATGTAATGTACATTAGAAACATTTCTTGAACGGATGTTTTTTGTGATACAGACTGATTCTTTCGTCCACAGAATTAGACGTCTCTTCAATATGAATAGAGAATTCAGAAAAAAAGTCTGGAATTTCAAGAAATAAGTTCAGAATTGTGTGTAACAAACTTGCAATTCTGGGGGGAAAGTCTGAATTTCAAGATATAAACAATTCTGGGAAAGAAAGTCTGAACTGCGAGATATAAAATTAGTGAGTTTCGAGAATTGTGAGATAAAAAGTCACAGTCAGTGGCGGCTCGTGGGTTTTAAAATAGAGGAGGCACACTAATTGTATTGGTCTGGGGATCCCTGCCGATTATATTATTATTATTTGCTTAACTACTTTAAAATGGCTTTTTTGTTGCTTTTAGTCAGAAAATGTAAAGAAAACAACATACATACAGCAAGATAATATAATTTCACTTACCTGGCCTATCACTTGAAGCAAACATCCATCCCTTCTTAAAAGTCTGTGTTAAAAGGGAGCTGCCTGTATTTGCTATTTAATTAAGCCGACTGCTGTAGTCTATATCCAGTTAGGTGTGTTTTCCCTTCTTTTTTAATTTGTG